TCTGTTTATGTCTTTAAATTTATTATTTTTATCTTTATTTACAAATGTTAAATTAAATAAGAAATTATCAAACAGTTAAAGATAATTTTATGAATTTAAAATATAACTAGCTCATTAATATGTGTAATGCACAAATTAAATATTTATTATATGTAACTAAAATTTATAATAATTTATCTATATAAATAAATATTTTGTTTGAACATATAAATTATAATTAAAATTTGTATAAATATATACTTTTAAATATATAAATTATATTTTAATTTAAAATAAATAATTTATATTATAACATTTTATTATTTTTATTTATTAATAATTATTTTTATAATAGAAATTTAATTCATAAATAATTATGTAAATAAAAACTGAATTAGATAAGAAGTTAAAAATTCTTTTAAAAACCTTTTCGTTGAAAAAAAAGATTCTTAAAAATACTCACAAGATAGAGATTAGTGTTTAATATTTAGAGATAGTAAGCTGAAAATATTTATATATTATTAATAATGGTAATATCTCTTTTTTTTTTTATATATAAAATTTGAATTAATTTATTTTTATAACTATATTTAAACTACTCTCTTTCATTATCTTTTATTTATTAATTCTATCTTTCTAATATTTAACGATAACTAATTTTTAATCGTGTCACCTATTTTTTTTGGTAAATATATTATTGATACAAAATATCCACTAATTTTATTGATAATTAATTTCAAGTTAAAAAACAACTTTATTAATTACTCGAATCAACAACCAGTTATTAACTTCTATTTTTTTAAGTAATTACTCATTATTTTTTTTATTTATTTTGAAATAGATTGGTACAAAATATATTCTTTTTCCTAGTTATCAACAGAATGAATTTAAAGATAATTCTTTAGCAGAAATATATTTAAGATTTTTTTTTAAAAATTAAAGATTTATCGATCTTGTTATCGTTATCATATATTTGATTTTTTTAACTGTTTATCTCTGTAAATTTATTATTTTTATTTTTATCTTTATTTTTTAAGCTTAAATTGAAATTAAATTTTAATTTTGTTATAGGAAATTATCAAAGAGTTAAAGATGATTTTATAAATTTAAAATATAATTTATATGTTAAAATATTTATATTTATATATTATAAAATTTTAATTATAATATAATAGCATAATTTATATACTTGTATATTTAATAATATTTATTATCAACCTTATTTATATAGAAACAAATATTATGTATTTACTTTTTCACAAATATCACGAAACTAATTTTCATAATGTGGTTATATTCAAATATATTACATTAATATTGACCTAAAATGGAGAACCAATCACCATCGGAGCCGCCGGATAGGGGCGTTAGCATAAATCAAAATACAAAGTCTATTAGTAGAAGCCTAAGGCATCAGATGCAAATTGGCTAGACATCAACATGAAGAGACCATCAGAAAGAACCAAATAAACTAGAAAGCGAAGTTAACACTCCTATACCCAGACGAAAAGGGTAGTCAAAGATCAGACGTAGTATCTTGTAACTAGATGATGTCAAAATACTGAAGCACGTCTGAAGTCCACTGATCACATTGAAATAAATCATGCTAGAAACACAAAAGGACATCAACGTGAATACAGAAGGGAGAAAAATAGGAAAGCATGGATCACAAGTCAAAGCTGAGTGCGTCAGAGAAAGGACACCTACTTTTCAAAAAAAAAAATAGCATCGCAGCAGCTAAACCGATAAGGAAAATACAAATATACCTAGATCATGATTGAAGTCAGATATCGAAGTAATCAACTATGCAAAAAAACTCCACGAATACAAGCAAACATTTAATGTAAGATCAAATGCATTAAATGAAAAGATTTACATGAATGTGAATGAAGCCTCCATCTGCAACGACACAAAGATATGCTCCAACGGAAAAATTTGAATTCAAACAATGGGCAGATTTATCAAATGAGTATAAGTATCAAGGCCAAGAAGAAAAGAAACATAATTGAGAAGCAGAGAAAACTTGCATACGAAAAAGAAGCAAAAAACATAAACTATCTTTCTTCTTAAAGTACTTCCTGTATATTTGTGTAAAAGTAAGATAGCTTATCTTAGTAAGTGTTGCTAATAGTTCATCCTCTCTTTGAGAGTAAACAAACACTTAGACACTTATCTCTGTAAAACTAAGGTTATGCACCTTAGTGAGTGTAGAAACCACCCTATCCTCTTTGTGAGAGTTGCAAACACACTCAATACCTTTATCTACTATAAAGCCTGAAGAGGCTGATAGAAAGAATATTTGTGAATCAGAAGTGGTTGAGAATACTAGCTCTAGTAAGTGAAACTAGTGGGCTAGAAGTGGTAATGAATACTTGGAGAACCATAAGTGGTTAAGAATACTAGCGTCGAGTTGACGAGCTAGAAGTGGTTGAGAATACTTGTAATCCTTTGTGATTAGTGGAACCCTTCGATTGAAGGAGATTGGACGTAGCTCAGATTGAGTGAACTAGTATAAATTTTTTTTGCTGTGATTGTCGTCAGCAGCAATGCTAATGTAGCGTGCGCTTTCAAGTTTGTTGTTGAGGTATTTAACCACTTGCTGTCACTGCCTTATCTGATGATGTATGGCTTTGTCTGTTCAATTATGATTCAGGATGCTGTCTTTGTTGCTTGTGTATTGCTTATTTGATTATAATTAACATTTACATATGGTTATGTAAACGATCATGATTGATAATAGGTCCTCCTCGCAGGCTGTTTCACTATTCAAATCATATTTTGGTGGTGCCTTTGATGAGGATGCAATTCGCAATAATTTTGTACTCATTTATGAACTCCTAGATGGTATGTAATCCATATCAATTCAATTTTGTTGGTGGTCTCTAAAGCATGCTAATGCTGAAAAGCAGTGCAATGGTTTTAGTTTAGTTACCTATAATTTTAAAAACTGTCATTAGCAAAATCTAACAAGACGTCAGATGAGGAGATCAAACGATCAAACGAAATCAAGCCCAACACAAGAAGGAAAATAATGAAGCCTCAGATGATACAAGATCATGGACGATGGACAAAGCTAAGTCAAAGCATCCTAGACGGAGTCAAGAGCTTGCACAGCTGGCCAGACAGAGACTCAAATGCACAAATGAAAACCAAGAAGGCTGGATTGTGTCTGAAGTCATCAAGATAGAAGAAGAGAGAAGAAAAAAATGGACTAGCGCTTATCCACAAATCAAAGTTGCATGTGTTAGAGCAAGTACACCTACCAGTTAGCAAAGGATAACGCCTCTATAGCTACAATACTAGGAAAGTACAAAGATATCTAGGTCATGATTAATGTCAGATATAGAAGAAAACAAACGGTACAAAAGACTTCGTGAAACGCAGATTCAGTAAATAAACATTAAATGCAAGATCAGATGCATTAAATACAAGAATCCACGGAGCTTGTGCAAACTAAACAAGAGAATCTGATGATGGCTAGTCAAGCATCAAAACTAGGTCTGCTCACGGACGGAAGAACATTCAACAAACACCAGATGAGGGTTACTACAAGAAAGAGACATTGGAGTATCGGATGAAAAGCCAAAACGAGACCAAACTCGGAACAAGAAAAGCTGTGTCAAACATCTGAAGAAGCCAGATGGTCAACTATGTTAAAAGAATAGTTAAGGCAAGGCACATCACGAGAACCAGACAATTCAAGCTAGTTGAATAGGCAAAGTATAATATATGCACCAGATGACTATGAGTCCAATATTAGTTGGATGTGTGTCAAGAACAACCTCCAGTGCAACGTGAAGAAATGGACCAAGCATGAGACAAAGATAAGAAAAAAGTGAACTATGCATCAGACAAAGGATAACATAGACTGAAAGACACTCTAGACGAAAATAATGTCTATCTATTCACATTGTTGACCAGATTAAAGAAAAATCAAAGCATTGAACTTAGATGCTGAGACAAGGTCAAGATTGAGATGCATAGGACCAACAAACAAAGACGAAGACTGCCATGCAAACAATTAAAGAATCAAGACGATAACAAGGCCAGTATCAAGACTAAGGTTAATTCAAGCATAAATCAAAATACAAAGTCTATTAGTAGAAGCCTAAGGCATCAGATGCAAATTGGCTAGACATCAACATGAAGAGACCATCAGAAAGAACCAAATAAACTAGAAAGCGAAGTTAACACTCCTATACCCAGACGAAAAGGGTAGTCAAAGATCAGACGTAGTATTTCCTTCAAATGTTTGTCCTGTTACATTATCATAGAGAATTATGTTTTTACTTGTTTTTCCTCTAAAATTAGTCTGTTTTGAGTGTTGTGCTGGGAGGATAGTTCATCCTTATGTGTTTATTTGCTCTGCTATAATAGTAATATTGTTTTCTATTGTCAACAAATCTGTTTTGCAGTGGTAAAACTATTGAACTTGATGATGTCACTTTCCATCAATGTGTAAATTTGACGAGGTTCAACTCAGAGAAGACAGTTAGTTTTGTGCCACCTGATGGTGAATTTGAACTAATGAAGTAAGCTTCTGCCTTTTCATTATATCTCATGTTATATAAAATTTTCTAAATCTATAGCAAACGTATTACATGCATGTGATAGACCAAACGCTATCAATATGCTTTGTTGGGAAAAGGGTGGGTAGATGGGTTTAGAAAGATGGTTAGGGTCCCTTAGTTGTGTTTGCTTTGTTTATCTTTCATATTTTACCAAAAAAAAAAAGAAACAAATATTATCCTATATATGCTAAACTTTTAGTATTAGTTAAAAATAAAGAAAGAATGAAAACGTCAAAAAACATTTCTGTCCATATTATCCGTTAGACGTTGCAATAGGATTCATAAAAGCCCAGATTGAGCCCAAAATTGTGCGAGGTCGACAATGGGCTCCGTTCCGTAGGTTGAATGGGCCCAACATAAATCCAAATTGAGACTAATTGAAATTGAAATAAAAAAAAAAATAACAAACCCCCAGAAAAGGATGCATATAAAAACCTAGAGTTTCCCTCTGCTCAAGCCCCCGTTGCTGTTTCCTCTTCATAGCCGCAATTGCTATTCCTCAACGAAGAGACAGCAGCCGCTACCAGCGCCAGTATCCGCTTTCCACGTTCGTCCTTCCTTTTCAAACGCCGCCGTTTTGCCACCACTGCTATATATATATATACCCTAGCATCGGTGCTTCGAGCCTCTCTTTTTTCTCAGCGTCACCGACGCAGCTTCCGTAAGCGTTCTTCGTTATGCTTGATTGCGGCGTTTCTGTTGTGGTTCTTTGCTCAGTCTTTGCGATTTCTCTTTTTGATTTTGTTGCGTTGGCTTGTTAGGGTTTAGAGAGAGCATGGGAAGGGTTCAGGTTGGTGACAAGGCAGAATTCTCGCGGATGGAGAATGGTGATTTCAGTGACTCGGAGCTAATTCATCACTTCAGAGGCGTACTTGTTGCTGTTTCAGCGGTAAGCTGTTCTAGAAATTGCCATTGCCACAACTTTTGTTCAATTTGATGTTTATCGCTTCATTGTTAAAGAAAATAAAAGTTGGATTATTGTGGCTCAGGGTGATAGGGAGAATTACGATGAGCTCGTTGGTTATTTGCACCCAAAAGGGAATCTTAATCCAGATGAAGTTGCTATACTTGTGGTAGGTTTTTGTTTTTTATTGTTCAGATTCTCAGAACAGCTTGAAGTTTTGTTACATGGTCATTGTGCTGGCCACACTTTATGTTCTATCATATGGTTGTAGACAACTTTGAAGGCACTTTCTGGAGCAGCGTCCTATATAGATTCTGTTCATCATGAAGCCCTTCTTTTCGCTGTAAGATTTTTTTTTTATCATTGTGGTTCCTTTGCGTTCTGGACTTTGAATTTTTCCCTCAGTGCACGATAGGATGGGTTATGGACATGGTTGATTTTGATAAAATTGTTTGTCCAGGTTTCCAGAATGAGCTTGTGGAATTATGGAACTGATGTTATGGATGCGCTGCTTGAACTCATTATTTCTTTGGTACATGATTTATTTAAGTCACTCTTGATGAATATTGTAATTATAAAGCTGTTTGTGAATTTTTACCAAGTTTGCGGCCGTTGTATTTTTCTGCAGGCTGCTTCCAATGGAAAATACATCGATTGGTGTTTGGAGATGCTTGTGAAACATTTTGTGCCACCTTATTACCTCTTAGATTCTCTGAAACAGGAGAATGGAATTGACAGGAAAACTAAAGTTCTGTCTCGGGTGCATGCAGCTTTGAAAGAGATAGCTGATTTGGTGCCCCTTGCACCCCTGCGATTATCTCCCATTGTTGTCCAGAAAATGCCGAGTGTTTTCAGCAAGGAACCTGTGAGTTCATACGATTTTCTCTGTATACTACTAAACGAATTTGTTTTGTATTATGTGATGTACTGTTAATTAGCTTGGTGCCAATTGTCAATATACATTTTGTGCATGGCAATTTTAGTTTTCGTCTCTGAAGTGTGCATGATTTCTACCTTTTTGTGGTATATGGCCAATGAAGGTGCATTATTTAATTTTGCAATAAGTTATGTCGGTTCTGATTATAGTGATTTTTTTTTTACTTTCTAGTATACATTATGATTTAAAAACAGTATATTTTAATTTATATTTTGTTGTTAGAGAGATACTATTGAGTTATCTACTATTGTGCAGTGCTAACTTATCTATCAGACGCATTATTTTATCTGGAATTCTTTTTTGTTGCTCGTAGGAGATTGTTATGTATGTTGAGAATATGTTAAAGCTGGAAAGTGGTGCAATTGGAGAAATTATCGGTTCTACAATGCTTCCGGCGCTTGTGGATAGGTTGCTAGATTTGGATGTAAGTTAGTTAATCCTCCCTTGAGTTTTTTTCAAACAAAAGTTGGGTCATTTGGCCATTAATATAGTTTTCTTACCCTGGTTATAGGTGGAAATTGGATGGGACGGAATCTTGCAAGAAGATGGCAAATGCATATTTGAAATGGAGTTAGAAGATTTTACTGAATTTGGAGATGATGAGAACTGTGATAGTATGGTATGAATCTTATAATTTATTTAAAGATCATGTTGTGGTCTAATTGAGTGGTTTCTTGAAAATTAAAATGATACTCCATTTTATTGGAGATATAGAGATTATTTAAGTCCATCTGAGCTGAGTTTACTTGGTTAGCTCAAAATAAAGCCAATGTAATTAGTTTTGCTTGGAGAAAAATTATTTATTCCTGTCCATGGCTGCTGCGTTTTGCATGTCTGATTTATGTTCAGTTGTACATTTTTTGTGGTGTGAAGTTGTATAATCCTTGTTCCTTCTCTGACACATTTCAAAATGCTCATTCTGGCAATGAACAGTTATTGGTTCTAAGCCATCTCTGGCAATGAATCAACAATTCAAAATGCTTTTCTTGCGTATTCTTGATAAACCAGTGTTTATATGGCAGGGATGTTACATGATGTATGAGGCCTGATCATCACTTTGTGGTGCACAATTTGAAAAAGAAAAATTGGAAAATAAAATTAAATAGAGTAGAAAAATAGTTAACAAAATTAAAGAATTAAAAATATTTCTTAAACAAAAATGAAATTAAGTTAAAAAAATGCAGTAGAAGTTTTTCACCAGGGACGGAAGACATTTGGGTAAGGAGCACAAAGGTCACTGGGGGTTGGTTGTTTCTGGAGCTCTTGGCTGCTGTGGGTCGGATGCTTGGGGTAAGGCAGTAAGTAGCAACTCTTAAGGGATCAGCAATAGAGCATCTGACTGTCTGTTATGGGTCATGCCACTTGGCCCAAATGTTTTTTTTAATAATTTTTTATTTAATCCTTTTCTGCCAATGGGCCTCATATGTTGGTCTCCATTTAAAACCTCCTCCACCACCATTATATGGCAGGCTGTTGAGAAACTACCTCTGCCTTTAGCCATTTCGCCACCATGGCCCCCATTTAACAACACTGCATCAAGCTTTATCATGTAGAACCGTTTCACAGAAAGTGGAGATTGACGTGCCTGTAAATTTGACCATCCAATCATTTACATCTTTATTGGTTTATCTGTCATGTGATCATGCTCCTATTTTCTACTTTACATCCAGCTACATTTGCTTAGCTAGAGGGGGAACATAGATGAAAAGTTGTCAGATCTGAATTTAGTTGGAATACACGTCTTGGTCAAACATAGATTGGTGAATTGGTCTTGTAATTTTGTCAGAGCATATGTAAGTTTATAAGATGTGGAAGTAGCCATTTGCCCTATCAAAATTTAAAGGGCCTTATTGTGGTATTTGCCTATTTCAGGCTAGCATGCCAAGCTGAGTTGTACTTAGGCTTGGCTTAATCAGGCCATGTTTGTGGTTGAGCAGCTTTGTGAAGTGGAAAAACTTCACACATGGAGTTCAGGTACTTCACTGTTCGTATGTCGTGCTAAGCAGGATGTGAGCATATGTTTTTGTCTTGATAAGTATTATGCAAACATTCTAGATATGTCCTCCTAATGTCAATTGCAAGAATGTCTGCTGTCAAAATTGATGACTTGGAACATGTTTATCCATACAATATTTGAGTTATTATTTTGTCATGTAGATGTCTGTTACCTTTGTGATTTGTTGAGCTTTTCATTTTCCAGTCTTCCTTGTTAGTGGGTAGTGGGTACATCAGTTGTCCTTAACCTGCATATGATGTCTTTTTGAATCAATACCATGACTAAATTTGCCAGTTGAGGTAAGTTGGTAATTATTTCCTTGTGACCTTGTTTCAGCCCATCAATTAATCTAGATATGACTCCTAAGTTAATTCTGGTGACTGGTGTTTTCTTGATCTGTAGTCAAAAGTGAAAGTGAAACTTGAAATTAAGTGTTTCTAGTGTCTTTAGTGAAGAGGCATCCAATTGCCTGCCTCACTATGAAGAGGTGTTGATATTAAAGATGTCAAAATATTTGACTTTACCAAGTTCTAGGGTCTAGTGTGTCTTTGAGGCAAGCCAAGCAATTGGTACAGTACTTCATCAATTTACATTCAAGAGGAAAATTATTATTCTTGCATTTACATGTTGGTGTGGCAGAAACAAATAGTGACTGAATTTGTCTGTCATGGTGATATCATGTGAGTATGTGAAGTCAAATTTTAGGGAAGTAGTGTATTTCCTGGTTGAATTTGCATTGCAAAACGGCAGATGCAAATATAACTGGGAAGTGAAGAGGGAAGCATGGACATCAATAATGGAGCACATGTTTTTTCGGTTTAATCCATTTAACAGAGTTAAACCAAAACCGAAATATGCTGAATTGACTGTGAAGCTGGCTGAAATAGAAAATATAACAGAATCTAATAAGTAGACAACATAAAAAATACACAGAAGAAAGCAGACTGCAATCAGAGCCTTTTGGTTTTACTGTTGGTCCAATTGCAATGCAAAGAAATCAATAGAAAAAGGATATGCTGAAGAAACAGAGAAAGAAACGGCCAGAACTCAAGAAGAAAGTATTTAATAATTGATATGGAGGCCTCTCTTTGTTTCTTACATAATCTGATCTCGTGTACAATCCTTGTTGGTACTGTCTTTTATACTAAAACCTGATGATTTTTAGGGCAGGGCTTTGTCAAGTCCCCTGCCATTAACAAGGGGCTTGCATGATGCTCCATTTCTGTGGGGACACCACCTTTATGTTGCCAGCGTGGTATGTTATACCAGCCTCTTCTCTTGCCTTTGGTCGGATCTTGTGTGCATCTTGTGGCTACTTTAACCCTAGTGATCTCACAACTTCCTGAATCCAGAAACAGCAACACCTGTAACAAGTAGTACCCTGGGTGGTGGAGTGGAATAATCTGTTTAAGTTTTTGTTTGACATAATTCAATCTTTTAGATAACGTTCTATGGATTTTTGAGAGTCCAGTTCTTTGATTTCTCATCAACTGTGATCGCATGAGATTTATTCTCTTGATCTAAGTTGTAACCTGGACTTTTGATTAGCATGATCTTAAAAGGAATATTAAACCTCAAGAGAGATTGACCGGTGATGCAAGACTTTGTAGGTGGTCTACTGTTCTCTAACTGGCTGTACAATTGTACAACATGCAAGTGTTTTGGTTATTTTGTTTTACAAAATAATTAGTAACAAGTTTCTTAACGATTATTATAACTAATTAATTTTAATGTATTATTGGATTATTGCTTATCTCTGATCAATATATGTTTATTCACTCTACAATGCAAGTTATTGGGGGAGTATAAATAATCTTCATTGCTGATCCTTTATCTAATAAAAGAATAACCTCTATATTTTGAGTATCCACTTATATTTGTACTGACTAATATTTTATCTCGTGATTTTTTCATCTTCATTTTTCAGCCTCCATCAGAGTTGTTAAATAGAAGAAAATTGCAAGGCAATTTGGTTGTTGATAAAGTAGATAGCCTTATGGTGCTGACTTTTTTGCACCTTGAATCTTGTCAAAGCAGTGGCCGTTTGGCTGAGGTATTCTCCCATATATAAAATTACATAGTTGCACATGTGAGGGCATACAACATAGTTGAGCGGTGCATCAACATGACTTCGTAAATTCTTAATTACTATGTGTTCATCAAATTCTTTGATTAGGTATTCGATGTTCTACTGGGGTCATTTCAGAAAACTGTATTGAATGCATACAAGTCAAAATTTACCCAGGTACTGTTATTTCCTTAATCATTCTGTCTCTAACTTGTGTTATGTTACTTGCTAGTACTATTTCTGGGAAATGTGTTCTCATTAATGGCTTTTATTTTGTTGCAGTTTGTGATGTTCTATGCAAGTGCACTGGATCCTGAAGGATGTGGTGTGAAATTTGCTATGGTTCTTACAGATATGTTTTGTCGTGATGTTAATCCCCCTATTACTAGGTAGTTCTTTATTTTCATTTTTGTTTTTTAAGAATGAAAATTCACCAGGCTAAGTAAACTATATAAGGGGAATGGGGCATATGTGAAATTTGGCAAAATTATTTTTACTGCCTTTAATGTGTTCTTTTATTTGGTCATGTATGCAAGACTAATTTGATAACAATGTTATCAAATAACCATTATAACCCCATTATAATGGAATAGCATAAAGGTCTCCAGCCAAATTGTCATTTTCCATCGGATATTTGGCCTTTTTTATCGGTGTTTGTCATATTTGTCATGGTTGTCGCGCCGGTGGAAATGGCGCTTCTTTATAAAAAAAAAACTCCATTTGAGTTTTTGATCTAAGCCCTGCCCATTTTAAAGAAAAATCCAAAACACTTCTCTCCCAAACGAGGAACATTGTTGCTCCCACATTGCTGCTTCCCTAGGGTTCTCTGAACCTTTGTTCAACTCCAGCGACCTGAAGCGCAGCGACCCCTCACTCTGGCATACCTTGGAGTGAGGTTCAAAACAGGTTCTTTTTTTAGTGTTTTTTATTCCTTATATTTTTTTCTCCTTCTTCCTCTTCTCTCCAATGATTCTTCATCTGTTTTGTTCTATTTGAGTTCCTGTTATTCATTTTTTATTCTTCTATTCCTCTTCATCTGATCTTCATCTCCTTCATGTTGGGTCTGGTTTGAGTTCCTATTTTGTTCCAACATTGAAAATTATATTTTGTTCCTTATCTTTTATTCTTTTTTTATTTTTTATATATATTTTAACTATTTAAGTTGATATTTTATTGTTTTTAATTAATTTTTGCTTTTTGTAATTTATTTTTTGCAGTTTTTTTGTTTTTGTTTTAGTATATGTATATTATTATTTTTTTTGTCTGCCATAGATGGTCATGCACACCGCCATGTTTTAATATTAGCTTCTCCAAATTTTTTTTAAACTTATACATAAAATAGTCTTAGCTTAGCTTATGGGGAAGCATATTTTATTTTTTCTTCCAATTTTTTTCCCTTTTGAGGAATTTTACTCTAATAGGTTAATAATCATATTCAAATATGGCTTTTGACATTGTCACATTATTGTCTTCATAAACTGTAGGATGAGTGCTGTTGCTTATCTTGCTAGTTATCTGTCTCGAGCAAAGTTCCTTTCAGCTGCACTAGTCACCAACATCTTACAAAGGTTTGGAAAGTTTATGAATGTCCACTGGCCATTTATGACCAAATATTTTTTTTATTTGTAATAAAATAGACCTATTGTTAAAAATTGTTTCTACGATCTTTTGTTGTGATTTTCAGCTTGGTAAATTGGTGTTATGCCTATTGCAAGTCGCATAATTTTGATATGAACCCACGAGCACATCAAGTTTTTTATTCTGGGTGCCAGGTGAGTTTTTTTCACATCAGACCTTTTTAATTCAAGGAGGGGGGAGGGGTTGGCTGCAAGTGTGATGCCTTTTCATCAATTCTGACAAGGGGAATACAACTACTTGTGAACACTGACCCTCATCACCTTTTATTTTGATTTGTTACTCCTTGACCAAATTATCAATATAATTCATTGGTTTGGCTGTCTTAAGCTCTGCTGGAAACACCTCTTTTATTACTACGAACTGCAAAATTGTCTCATGTTCATTATTGGAATTTTATGGAATTTTCTTTTTCTTTTATGGAATTTTGATTTTGTTCATTATTGGTTTTTCTGCTGTGAGCAGGCCGTCATGTATATTCTGTGTTTTCGCTTGAGATCTTTGATGGACATTCCCAGGCTTAAATTGCAGCTTCTTAATATGCCCATGGAGGCAATCTGGAAACATAAATTGAGCCCCTTGAAGGTAAGGATCTTTTTACAACAGTCATGATTTTCATGTCCTGGCATTTGAGGGGGACTGCACTTTCTTCAAGCTTTTTCTCTTGTTACGTACAACTTTGTAGATTGATAAAATCATTTACACCAGGTGTGTTTGCCTACTGTGGTAGTGGAATTTCTCCGACAGGCAAAGGCTGCTCAATTTTTCATGATGTCAGAGACATTTGTTTTCAATGATATGCTTGAGTCTGATTTTTCTAAAGCTTTTGGCGGGATGGATAGACTTGACATGTTCTTTCCATTTGATCCATGTCTATTGAAGAAAAGCGAAAGGTTAGTATTATTCAGCTGATTTTATGTGATTTGACCATAACATTTTATCTATTTAAATTTTATGCTTATGTCGCTTTTGCTCTCCCACTCCCACTGTCAATGATGACTGTCTCCAGCTACATAAGGCCTCATTTTGTTCGCTGGTCCAAAGTCAGAACTACATACGATGATGATGATGACAATGAAGTCAGTGATAGTGGCAGTGAAGCTTCAGATGATGATTTTGTTGACAGAAATGCAATGGATATGATTGATGATGACATGATGGTGAGTGTTGAAGGTCTTGATTTTACACCTGACTTGAACAAAATGTCAATCACGCCCAAAAATTCGTTGAAATATGGGTTCGAGACGCGATGTACGCGAATGCCAGCAAGAATCAGACCTTCTACTAGTCCAGAGTCACTGTGATACATATCTGCTTCTGATCTCGTTACATTATAGGAAACTTGTCGATTTTTCACTATTGATTGGGATTTAATCCTATACAAAGAGGGAGGCAAAGTCAGATACGTAATCTTCATATAGCATCATTTTTGCATTCACCTGGTACTATGTTGAAGTGAGTAGGAGCAGCCAACTTTAAGATTCGTTTTCTGTTATCTTGTAATTATAATTTGTTTAGGATACGTTACGTGAAATTGTATTAGTTGAGTTGGAGGACAAAAGAAGTCTGCGTAACGTCTATGCTATTATTTTCATTCGTAAACCTGGCCTCACCACAACAAATGTTAGTGCTGTATAGTATTCTTATTATATTCCTATCTGCTTTGAAGCTCCTTGTGTTCCAGTGCATCAATGAGATGCCTATACCATAATGAAAGTCAATGAAATGCAATATTGATATAATGAATTCCCTATGTTGGTATATTTGGAACAAAAGTTTTAAAAAATAATCCTATACTGTTTTGACGATTTCTCATGTTAAATATATTTCTGCTTTATATTACAATAAATTTGAAATTTTATTTTGTATACGGAGCTTATTTTTTAAAAATAAAATTCGATTAGGTATTTATATAATTTCTTCTTTTTTAGTTTTATTGAAAATATTTGTCATTAGTAAAATATATTATTTAATTGTCTACTATTTTATTTTTGCAATCCAAAAAAAGTATTTTATCTTCATCTATGATTTTCTCAACTGTATTCATTTCAATTTGACTAAATTTATCTCAAAATTTAAAATATTAAAAAATATTTTTAATGACTTTATATTTAAATAATATTTATCCCGTATAATGTTATACTACTTATGTATTAGCATTGAAAAATATTATCCCGTATATTTAAATAATATTTTTAAATAATATATTCTTTTTCAAATATACTTATTACTATTATATAATTTATGATTTGGTTTTCGTGGTATATAATTTTAAGAACATTGCTGATTTTACGATATATCTATTATGTAAGTTCTCTAGCTCACATGATTTTTGGGAAGATATATGCTTGAAGTTCTTTTTTAAAAGTATTGTTAGAATCACTTTTAAGAAAGAAATATAGAAAGGGAAATCAAAATAAGTATTTTCATAAACGAAGATTAACTCTTGCACGAGCTAAACATATATAAGATTTTGAAGAATCTAATGAAAGGGAGCTTCTACCAAATTAGGCAAAATCGAACTTGATTTATGAAAAAAATTATATCATTTTTTTAATAATTTTTTTAAAAAGTATTTTTGTAGAAGTTTATAAACCCTTTATTGTGATGGTAAAATATGTTTTGTGCTTATCTTCCTAAACTAATATAAAGACAAGAAACTTGTTAAAGTTAGAGAGATTATTTGTACTATAGCCTAAAATCCATCTTGTATTTTTGTTCTTTATTGAAAATTTGGTCTACTACAAAAAAATTAAACACCAATTATTTATTCTTAGCTTAATCATTGTGATTTAGTTTAAAGTTTGGAGAGGTTTTGATTCAAATAATAGTTGGGCAATTAGAATTTAGAAAGATTGTGTGAAAGAATACTTAAATCAAACTAGTAATAATTTTTTTTTAAAGAATACTATAATTTTATAAAAATAATGAATATTAGAGCAACTCCAATAAGAGTTGCTTGTCTCGATTCTTGTTTTAAGGGATAGTTTCTTTCTTTCTAGTGGAACACTCCTACGTGGCAATATGAGTTGCTTAACAATTAAAAAATAAATCTTTCCCCCTCCATGCCTGAATACTAGATTTTGGTGGGGGAAGAGATCAAAACAATGAAAAATCACAGAAATCAAGGAATCAAAAGATCCACACCAAAACAATAGATCTAGAACAAGAATAATAGATCCACAACAATAATAACAGATCCATAACAATAGCAAAATTAAACTAAAAAGTGAAAAAAAAAATGACAGAATGAAAAAAGGGAAGGTGCAGGGAGGGTGAGGGTAAGGTGGGGGCTTGACAACGGTGGGGCTGGGCCGGCGACACAGGGGTTAATTGGCGTGACGGGACTAGGCTAGCGCGACAGGGGTAGGCTGGCGACACAGGGGTTAGAGAGGACGACGCAACAGGGGATGACAGGGAGATGGATGAGAAAGGAAGAGAGCGGCGAGGAGATGGAGAGTGAGGGGAGAAAAATGAGAGAATGAGCAAGTGACGGAGAAAAATAGAGAGTGAGAGGAAGGGAGTGATCGACGTCCTGTTGAGAATTTTTTTTTAAAAATAAACCAAAGAGCTATTGGGCTTAAATTATAAAAAAATAATCTGTTTAGAGTAGTTGTTGGGCTTAAATTTAAAAAAAATAAAAATAAAATTATCACTATAAATATTCATCAACTCAATTCAAAAATTTACACCTCTTTAACTCTCTTCTACTTCTTTTATTCTCCTTGATTTTATCTTACTTGTTTTGCTCTCAAAGATGGATCCTAACCAATACAATTATCAAATTTTTTTTAATTCTTTCCAAAATCAACCACCACCGACGAGTGCAAATTCTCAAATTCCTCCGCAATATGTTATGTATCCACCATCTTATTTTACTGAAAATTCTCAAAATCAACCACCTTATTGGTCAACACCACAATATTATATGTATCCAACACGTCCACCTAGTGGTGATGGTTCTCAAGGACCACAAATTTTTAGTCAACCACCACCTCTCACCAACCCAAATGCATGTTATAGGTCTTCTCCTCTACACAATATTGACACTTCCAACAGTAAACCTGAATCACCAATTGGTCTCGATGGAATTCAACTAGATGGAAGTGCAGAAAATTCGTCAACAAAAAAAAATTGTGTTCCATTCACAGTTCAAGAAAATATTATTCTTGTGAGGTCATGGTTCAATACGTCAAAGGATCCAATCATAAGAGTTGATCAAACGTTACAACAATATTGGTCGAGAATCACAGAAGCATACAACAACGATGAAGACGAGTTCACAGAGAGAGAATCAACTAAAAGCACGTTGGAATCAAATTCATCCTGCAGTTTAAAAGTTTTTTTGTTGCTACAAACAAGCAATTAGTCAAAAGAAAAGCGGGAGTTCGGAGAAAGATGTCATGGAATTCGCACATAAGATTTACACTCCAGATACATGTAAAAAATTTGATATGGAGCATACATGGGTCATTTTGAGAGATGAACCTAAATGGCAATCTGATTTCGTGCAACACAATTCAAAAAGAGGGAAGGTAACACTGCAGGTGGTTACTTTTTGTCTTCTAACACAGAGGCACCATTGAACTTGATGAATATGAGATACAAACGCCAACATCCCATCTGATAGGACAAAAGGCAACAAAAAGGAAAGCCAAAGGAAAAAAATTTTCCAGTACTAATGTTGTTGATTTTTCTGGCATAGAAAATACAATAAAGGAGAAAAATGCCCATGCATCAAGACTAATTGAGTTGAAGGAGGCACAAGAAAGACGTTTGGCATATGAAACCATAATGAAGGATACTTTGAACATGAATGAGACTCAACGTGAAGCTCATGAGAAGTATTGTAACTATCTTAAACAACAATGAGTTTTAATTTCTTTTAGGGTTTAGGGAAGTATTTGAGTTTTAATTTCTTTTATCATTGTAATTCAAATTCTGTTGTTATGAAACTAGTTGTTGTAAAACTAGCCATTATAAAAATAGTTGTTATGAAACTATTTATATGTAGACTTTGTCATCTAATCTTGCCCATTCTCACATCTTCTCACAAAATCCCCATCTGTTCTTCTTCGATTTTTAGATAGATACGTAATGGAGAAAAACAACAATTTAGATGATCCAAACATCAATTTAGATGATCTTTTGGATCAATTCACAGATGAGGAACTTCAAGTCAACACCGACGAAGAATTGATTCGGTTGATGATACAAACCTATCAACAACAACTTCCCAACACCACAAGGTCAAACCAAACAAGGAGGGTAGTTCATCGAAATCATGAGGAAGGTCATGAACAATTGTTCAATGACTATTTCTTTGGAAATCTGGTATATACAGAAACTCAGTTTCGAAGACGGTTTCGTATGCGACGACATGTGTTTCTCCGAGTTGTAGATGCCGTAAGCAATCATGATGAGTACTTTCGAATGAGGCTCAATGCAACGCGTAGAAGGGGCCTATCACTGTTGCAAAGTGCATAGCTACTCTTCATATGCTGCTTATGGGACACCTGTTGGTTTTTTGGACGACTATATTCGAATTGGTGAAACCACTGCAGTGGAATGCTTACAAAAATTCGTGAAAGGAATTTGTGAAATATTTGGGAGTGAGTATCTGAGACGCCCTAATAACGAAGACATTGAATGACTACAATGGATGGGAGAGGAACATGGGTTTCTTGGAATGCTAGGTTCAATTGATTATATGCATTAGGAATGGAAGAATTGTCTAGTTGCGTGGAAAGGTCAATTTTGTCAAGGTGATCATGCCAACCCAACAATCATTCTTGAAGCTGTTGCATCACAAGACTTGTGGATTTGGCATGCATTTTTTGGCACTACAGGTTCGAATAATGATATTACTGTGTTAAATGCATCTAATGTATTTAACGAAGTTCTTTTAGGAACTGCTCCGACAGTGCAATATACCGTGAATAGAACCCAATATAATATGGGTTACTATCTAGCAGATGGCATATATCCGGACTTTGCTACATTTGCCAAGACCATCTCCATGTCACATGGAGAAAAAAGGAAATTATTTGCCCAACGACAAGAATAAACGAGAAAGGATGTAGAGCGTGCATTTGGAGTGCTTCAATCTCGATTCGTAATCATACAAGGTCCGACAAGTTTTTGGATAACATGATTGTCGAGGACGAGCGAGACACCTATCAAAATTATATTGATTATGATGGTGTAGATGATGACATGTCAAATCTGAAATATTTGTAAGTGCTCATCCCAATTTTAGATCAACATACCTTCAAAGGAGAGCAGACGTTCATGATAAACGAACACACTACCAACTTCAAACAGATCTTATTAAACATATTTGGAAATGTTTCAGAAATAATAATGATAAAAATTAATTTCGTATAATGTTATGTATTTACTATTGCTTTATTTTATTTTTCAATATCTACTTATTATGTATTTTTCTCGTAATTTATTTTTTTTCATTGTAGTGCAATTGTCCTTTTTAATAAAAATTTAAATTTGGTTCATAAATGATTAAAAAAATTATAAAAGTTGAGTTTGTTTAACTTTCTTACTATTGGAGTAAATTTATGTTTGAATTGTTTAATGCTGACGTGACATATTATGGATCACTTTTTACACTTTTCAATGTATGAAGCAACTCAAATGAGTTGCTTCCATTGGAGATGCCTTTAAGTATGTTAATAAAAAATTATATGTAGCCACAATAATATTAACGAATGAATATAAAATTAATTTTTAAAATTTCTTCTTTTCTTTATACCTACTTCATCCTACTCAACTATATATATATATATATATATGGAATGTCAGTTTTAATGTTTTAATTGGCATTGCAGATTTCTCGACTAATTGATCTTTCCCCCCTATTCTTCCTTCTTATGTACTTCAACACTTCACATATCTATTATAAGATAAAGAGAGACAACCATTACTAAAGTTAAAAGAGAAGATAAAATAAACACCGATATTTTTCATTGATACTTTAGAAGGCAAGTGGATGGTGCAAAAAAAGTGAGATTTAATGAAATAAAAAAATGGCAGGAGTGTCACGAAATTCTGCCTTACAATTGATATGTAATGTAAATATTAAATGAAATGAAAACATGTTCAATACTTGTTTACTATAGCTACATTACAATGTTTTTTTTGTTATAAAGCTACATTATACATTAGACCATCAAAAGAAAGAAATTTAGGATAAATACATGTACACTGCTTTACAAAAATCAAACTTTGAAAACATTTAATGCAAAATCGATTAGAATATGGTGATGAATCAAATTATATGGATGTAATTTTTATAATTATATATTTATATTATTTAATAATTTTATGTAAAAATTAAATTTTATCGATCTAATTATTGAATTATAATTAAATTATTGATGTTTTAGTATATTTAGAAATATAAATATTACATCAATTTTGATTTACACAAATGTGATATCAAACATTTTTAGATTGATATGAAATTTGTATATATGGTCTAGAAAAAATAAATTTTGAATCTGACGATAAATTTTGAAAAATAATCATTCAATTGAAAGTTTTTTAGTGGGGTAATAGTTAATAGAAGTTACAACCGAGTAATTTGATACATCTCATTAGTATATTATACGTTTGATCTTAAAATGCAGGTTATAGGCCTAACTCAACCCTACAAAACTAATTTGTAAGATGAAGATTGTTTCCTACTTATATACAAATGGCCTTATTCTTAGTCAATGTGAGATCTCAAACAAACTCCCTCATGTCGAAGACTAGACATCTTAAGCGTGAAGTTTGTAGGACTGGACATCTACGGGTGGTCTCGATAACGACTTGATAGCGAGTGGCCTGATAAGCTTACTAACAATTAATAATCGCTAAGATATAGACTCTTATAGGCTTTGTTACCATCTTAGAAAAATGAGTTAAGAGCCCAACTCAACTCTACAAAATCGACTTTATAAGATGATGATTGATCTCTACTTATATACACTATTATTGCTTTATTGCTAGTTGATGTGAGATCTCTAACACATCCCTTTATGTCAAGGACTGAACATCTCGAGTGTGAAGTTTGTAGGATTGGACATCTATAGGTGGTCCTGATAATGACTCGATAGTGGATGGTCTGATAAGCCCATTAATAGTTGATAATCGCTAGGATATAGACTCTATAATGCTCCGATACCATCTTAGAATGTGGGTTATGAGTTTAACTCAACTTTACCAAATCGACTTGTAAATATGGGATCTCCAACAAAAGTGTTTAAATAATGAAGAACATATGTTATCCTAATCTAATCAATAATAAACTAGTGAAAAGGAACCCAAAATAGATCATGTAGGCAACTTCTCCATGTAAATTATATAGTTCACCCTACTACTATTAGTGGTGGGACCGTAGTTGGTTCTCTAGACTATTGAGAAGGTGAAGTTGATATAGGAGAGGATGAAGACTGCCCATAGTAGGCATAAGTTATATATTGGAAAGAGGAGAAAGGCTTTGGAGTTTGTTGTGGAATTCTAAAGGGGACACCTACTACTGAAGTGGGAAGTGCGATGATGTCCAAGAAATTTACCCCAAAGTTTATTGGACCATATTAGATCCTTTATCGTGTAGCGC